CAAAATAAAACCATTTACATATTTCCAATACAATTTCTTAAACAAAGACTACCCCGAACTGGTGTCACAATTTCACAGACGGTCTAGGAATACTACAAATAAACGTCCAAAAAGAACTAAATACAATGTTGTACTAGGAATACAAAATGAAACAGGATGAAAGGATAGAAGGAGACGCCAAGGCCTGCAGATGCCTGCAGGACTACCTCGGATCTCCGAATGGACTAAAGGCTGCCACCCAAAGCTAAGGTCTGTAAGCTCCAGTACCGGGATCTGCACACAGTGCAGAGTGTAGTATCAACACAACCGACCCCATGTGCTGGTAAGTGCCTAGCCTAACCTCGGCGAAGTAGTGACGAGGCTAGGACCAGACTACCAAATAAACCTGTGCAGTTAAGTATTATACATTGGAAAATAAAAGCAGGAATGTACAATTAAGGATGGGAGGGGGGAACATGCTGCAGGGACATCGAATAATAACAGAAAAACAACAGATAAATATAAGGATCTTCAAAGTTCAATTGAAGAAAGGAAGGGGGAATTATGCTGCGAGGTACAACAAGTATCAACAAAAAACCAACAGTTAAATGTAGAGAAACCATAACTCAGTCATCAATAAAAATTAGGAAAATCAAAGACAAGTGCACGACATCACTCTTCGTGTTTTAACACTCTCTCATAATAACATGCACGACATAATCTTTCGTGCTTTAACACTCTCTCACAATAACATGCACGACATCACCCTTCGTGCTTTAACACTCTCTGACCAAAACAATACACGGCATCACCCTTCGTGCTTTACACTCTTCCTCACCCAAGAAATAATCACAAAGCAATTTGGGCAAGGGAATCGATAACATCACAATAAAATCAAGCAACGACAGAGAATCAGTAAATAAACGTAAAGAATACCATAACTCAATTATCAGCAAGAATCAAGAAAACCAAAGACAAGTGCACGGCATCACCCTTCGTGCTTTTACTCTCGTCCTCACCATAAGAATCAATATAATACGTACGGCATCACCCTTCGTGTTTTTACCTCACATAATCATGTCACGGAATGATCCTTCGTGTATTATCACTCATATAAAAGGCACAGAATGATACATCGTGCGGCACGACATCACCCTTCTTGCATTAACACTCTCTCACAAATATCATGCACGGTATCACCCTTCGTGCTTTACACTCTTCCTCACCCAAAAAACAATCACAAAGCAATAAGGGCAATGGAATCAATAAAATCACAATAAAGTCTCGGCATGGGAACAGTAGTACAACAATAATATCCCCGCAAGGGAAACAATGTCAAAAGCAATAACATCCCGGCAAGGGAGATAACATAAAAAATAACAACCCGGCCAGGGAGACAATTTCATAATCCTCTTCTCTTTTCACATTTACTTCACAACTCAATTCGCAACTTGAGCCAATGCTCTAAAATGTTCAATTTCCACTAATACTTCCACAAATCATCTTACAACTTGAACCAACGCTCTTCAATGTTCAATTACCAATATTACTTTTACAAGCCTTGTTCAACAATAGAAATCATCACATAAGGCATAAACAATACAAAACGGAGTCAGGTTAATCATAGTATAAGACTCACGGGCATGCTTGACACCAACGTATAGATACTCGTCACCATGCCTATACATCGTACTCAACAATTAACACATAGCAAATAAGACACGACTCCTAATCCTTCAAGCTAAGGTTAGACCAAACTCTTACCTCGATGCCACGAACACAATTGAAGCCTCAACTATCGCTTTACCTCTTGGTTCCACCACCAATTCGCTTGTATCTAGCCACGAGTTACTTAACTATATCAATAAATGCTAAATGAATCAATTCTAATGCATGAAAATAGGTTTTCTAAAGTTTTTCCCAAAAAGTCAAAAATCGACCCCGGGCCCACATGGTCAAAACCCGAGGTTCGAACAAAATCCGATTACCCATTCCTCCACGAACACAAATATATAATTTATTTTGAAATCGAGGTCCATATCCCCAAAAGTTGAAAAACCTAAGTTCTACCCAAAACACCAAATTTCTCCCATGATAATCTTTGATTTTGAGTTGAAATCATGTGAAAAGATATTAAAGATTAATGAAAACGAGTTAGAAATGGTTTACAATCGATTTGGAAGAGTACTCGTCCTTGAAAAATCGCCCAAAGGTGTTTAGGTTTTGAAAAAAGTTGAAAAATGGCTGAAATGCGTCTAAGTTATGATTTAGCAGGTTGCAGATGACGCAATTGCGAACCCTTAAGGAACCTGCTGACATCGCAATTGCGAAGGATATGTCGCATTTGCGATACATGGGTCGCATTTGCGACCACTGGCTCTAACGGAAGACATCGCATTTGCGAAGGGTACCTCGCAAATGCGAGATAAAGCTGGCCTGGGGTTCTTCGCATTTGCAACCAAAACCTCGCATTTGTGAACCCTGCTTTCATCACATTTGCGATGCCTGATCTCGCAAATACGAGATTAGAGGCCTGCTACAAACCTGGAACACACCAACAATTCTCCTAAGTCCAATTTCACCCTGTGGCCTATTCAAAACTCACCCGAGCCCTCGGGGCTCCAAACAAAACATGCACACTAACCTAAAAACATCATACGGACTTACTCGTGTAATCAAATCGTCAAAATAACATCAACAACTATGAATTTAGCATCAAAATCAAAGAAAATCTCATGAACTTTCAAAATTTTAAATTTTACAATTAAGGTTCTGAATCACGTCATTTCAAGTCCGTTTCTTACAAAATTTTACAGGCTCGACTTAAATTATGTATAAGACCTGTACCGGGCTCCGAAACCAAAATACGAACCCGATACCATCTAATTCAATTGCATGTTTCATTTTCAAACACTCATATATATTCCAGAAAATAATTTTCTTTAAAAATTCATTTCTCGGGCTTGGGACCTCGGAATTCTATTCCGGGCATACGCCCAAGTCCCATATTTTCCTACGGACCCTCCGAGACTGTCAAATCATAGGTCCGGGTCCGTTTACCCAATATGTTGACCGAAGTCAACCTAAATTCATTTTAAAAGCAAAATTCACCATTTTTCACAGATTTACACATAATGGCTTTCTGGATACACGCCAGGACTGCCTACGCAAATCGAGGTCAGACAAAAACGAAGTTTTACGGCCTCAGAATACAGAATTTATTTCTAAAACAAGCAATGACCTTTTGGGTCATCACTGATTTAATTACTCATGTAAATACCTTTTATTTTACCTTTCGTTCACGAAAGTTCATTAGAAATGCCTACCTATTATTATTAAAATATTTAACATTGAAAAGTCTATGATACGTAGTGTCGATTAGAGTAAAACAAAGACATGAAAACCCCCTGCTGAATCCCTAGTGATGCTTTTCGATACTTGAATATTATATTAGAATTATACAAGATAAGGGTAAAACTTCTACTAATATAAAATTCTTTATACTCAAAGAAAGAGAAAGTGAAAACCAAAAGATAATGTTGAAAATCAATTTTAAGTTACGAATGCAGTATTGACCCAAACAACCTATGCACAATTTGTAAATAACTCAATTTTAGACTGATGATTGTAAATAAGATATTGAAAATACAAATCACAGTTTTCAACCATTCAATTTGTAATTGTGTTCAAGAATACACAAACGTTTAATATTTTGTAACTTTAAGAACAGACTATATGTTAGAAAGTTTACCTCAAATTATAAGCAAGTTGTCGATAATATCAAGAGTTTCTGATAAAGCTTATAAAATATGAAAATTGTTTTGGTCCTAAAATTCTAGAACTATGCAAAATTTGTGTATAAGTCAGTTTAAACTGATGATCGTATATCAAAATATTGTAAAAAAAAAAAAAAAAAAAAAAAATCACAACTGACAATCTTTCAAAAATGCATTTATTATTACATAACTTCAAGAAAAGATTATAGGTTAGAAAGTTTACCTCAAATTACAAGAAAATTGTTGATACTTTATAAGGAATTTAAAGTATGTAAATTATTTTGGTCTTAAAATTCTAGAAATCTAAAGTGAATTCTAAACATAAACAAAGAAACGACACAAAATAAAAGAATCTTAAACCTTCAAAAGTAATTCAACATGCGGCAGTAATTAACATTGGCAATAAAAAAAAAACCCACACGGCAATTAAAAAAAAAACTAATCTCAAACAAGGAAAAGCCTAAAGAATTCTAAACCTAAACTCTTCGTTCCTAATTCCTATGAATCCTAGTGAGAGTTATTTTAGTATATGTTGTACCGTGGCTGATTTACCAAAACTAAAAGCGGACAAAAAGCTTAATTAGTTGACTTCAAAATTTTATGTATATATTATTGAATTTGTTTATTTAATTGTAGAAAATTAAAAATAATAAAAGAAGAAGTTGGGAATTAAATAGAACCCCACATCCGGAAGTGGGAATAGTACAAGTACGTGGTTGGTTTTACGTTAGAATAAGTTGACTTTTATAGTTTCAAGTATGTAATAAAATCTAGTAATAAAATGGTAAAATAAAGTCAATGAATTCATAGGTTAGGTTTTATATACTACCTAATGATGTTTTACCTTGTAGTTGTATAAGGTAATAAAATAATTAATTTGAAGTACTAAATATTAGGTTTTCTACATATTAAATAAGGAAAGATTTAAATATGCAAAAAATTAATTATTTTTAGAGTCTTAAATATTAGGAAAGTAATATATTATATATTGATGTTCAACTTCCTCCAATTTTCAGTATATTGATCCTTCACACCAATTTTCAGTATCTTCTCCGTCCTATTGGCTAGACGATTTTAATTTGATATTCTACAATTGGAATATTACTAACTGCATCAATGAGGTTCACTACTATTTTTGTCATGAGTTGGTTAACCATTTTATGCTATGGAGAATGCCAACAAATAACACAACCTCCTTATAATGCAATAGTAGCACTAGATGGCTCGGGCGATTATACGACAATAATGGCTGCAGTCTCAGCAGCTCCAAACAACAGCGTTACATATTACTACATCAAAATAAAACAAGGAACCTACAATGAATACGTCCAAATCGAAAGCTGGAAAACGAATATCGTTTTCATCGGAGAAGGAATGGACAAAACCATAATATCCGGAGATAAAAGTTATGGTGCAGGCATCGGGACAATGTATACTGCAACTGTGGGTACGTAAATCTATTTTCTTTATTCCAATTAATTTCTCAAATTATTCTCTTTAAGAGTAGATTATTCCTCGGCATTATGTGCATTGGTTATTCTGTTAATTGTTTTTCACTTTTCAGGGGTGAATGGCCAGGGCTTCGTAGCCCAAGGAATCACTTTTAGGAACATAGCTGGACCTAAAATGCTACAGGCAGTAGCATTAAGAGCGGAAGCTGATTTTCTTACCTTCTACCAATGTCGTTTTGAGGGTTATCAAGATACTTTATATGCAAAGTACGGTAGACAATTTTATAGGGATTGTGATATCTTGGGCACCATAGACTTTATCTGCGGTGATGCAACTGTAGTATTCCAAAATTGTTTGATTGAAGTACGTCAGCCTTTGCTTGGCCAATATATTACCGTTACAGCACAACAAAGAGATTTTGAGACTACGCTAACGGGGCTAGTTTTGCAAAACTGCACCTTAAAAGCAACCCCGGACTTGGAGAAAGCAGGTAATATCACTATGTATTTAGGTCGCCCATGGGGTAACTTCTCAAGAACTGTGATTCTACAAAGTTATATTGACCTATTGATAAATCCACTAGGATGGATAGACTTTGAGGGAATGCCCCTAGTCCGCCCATTTTATATGGAATATAAAAACAGCGGACCAGGTGCAGATACAACAGGACGTGTGAAGTGGGCAGTTGCCACGGATGATTCAAAAGTCGCATCAAGTTTCACTGTTAGGAATTTCATAGGCGGTGACAAATGGATACCTCCCACAATTCCACATTATTTGGATCTCCTGTGAACTCTATGTTTTCTAGCTCATGAATATATTTCTCACAATCTTAATAAAATTTGGAGCTTTATGATCTGTTTTCTCGTATTGTATATTTCACTGTCTCTTAACATCAGACCTTTTTCATGAGCTTTTGTCTGACTCTGATTTTTGTATCCCAAAAGAGTAAATACTGACAAACATAGTTTGACAATTTAACATTTTCGACACTATGTGGTATAACTTTGTGCAAAATAATTACTGCTTGAATCCGTTTTTGATACATCACAAAATTAATGTACTCATCTGGCTCAAATTCAGGATTCTGTTAAGAACTGCTTTAGGCTGTTTATAAATTAGTCAAGGCGAACGTAAATTTATGTACTATATATGGAGCATACTTCTCTTCGTTAAGATTTTTTTTTTCTTTTTAATATATTACTCTCTCCGTTTCAATTTATGTGAATCCATTTGACTGGGAACGGAGTTTTAAAAAAAAAAAGAAGAGAAGACTCTTGAACTTGTGGTGTAAAATGAGGCACATATATTTTGTATAGTTATAACATTGCATAAAGGTAAACTCTTTCCTTAGGAAAGAGGTCATTCTTTTTTGCACGAATTAAAAAGGAAATAGGTTCACATAAATTGAAACGGATGGAGTACATATTTATGCTTGTGTACATGGTAAAGCCTAGCTCAAACGCATACACCTTTTATGTATGCGGTCTTTTGTGTTCGCGCCTTATAGTTTTCTTTTAACAGTTTGCACCTTAATCTACTTATTTCTTTACAAAATTAGTATATCAATACAGTAGTATAAACTTTTGATTTATTATGTGGACAATAGTAAAACTTCAGAATTATTCAACCTAAGCTATATGAACCTACTAAGTTGATTTCAGGCTATCAGCCAGGTTTCTAGATGAATGTGGAGTAGATAGTTCACTTTTATATACTTCAAGGAATTTTATATCCATTTTACATTTTTTTAAATCAATTTGCTTAATTCATTTGAAAATATCCTCGCAGGAGATGTTTAGTTTTATAATTTCTTTGGTTTCTCAAAAGTATTGCACTGAATTTTCATATTGTATAGGTAATATAAGTGATGTAAATTAGGGAAAAATTCAAAAATAGCCAGATTTACTAGTGGTCATTCAAAAATAGCCATAGTCTCAAAAGTAATCGAAATTTAGCCACTTTTCATGTAAAGATAAATTTGAACGAAAGCACTGTTCAAAATCTCATGTAAAGATAAATCCGAAATATTATACTGGAGTTCCAATATAATATACTGGTTCAGCATAATATACTGAAGATTGGAGCACCGGTGTTGTATATGGCCCAGAGAAGATCCATCCCATAATATATACATCACGGACCATCAGTTACCCAGTGCCGAAGAAGGCCAATCCAGCCTTGTGGAGAAGATCCATCTCCAGGTATCAAGTGCTTCGAACAAGATCCATGTCCAGGGAAGATCTATCCTTTAATAATATCAACCCCGCTCACTAGGAGTGTGTACAAACTCCGGATGGACTCCTTCAGCCCAAGCGCTAACATAAATCAGTATAATTGCTGCGGCATGCAGTCCGGTCCCATAATTAACAATAGAAATAACAATGCAGAAACGTAGGCATGCTTTCAAGTTAAATAGATAGCTCAAAACAATGAAATAGATCAGATCTAAACAATGTGAAGAATATAACTCTTCTATCTCTACATGTCAATGCACATGTTATATGTGATGCACCATTCTGACAGCATCATGTGCTCACACTCTCAAATGCTCAACCACTCGGCATTGTATATGGCCCAGGGAAGATCCATCCCAGAATATATACATCACGGACCATCAATTACCCAGTGCCGAGAAAGGCCAATCCATCCTTGTGGAGAAGATCCATCTCCAGGTATCATGTGCTTCGGACAAGATCCATGTCCAGGGAAGATCTATCCTTCAATAATATCAACCCCGCTCACTAGGAGTGTTTACAAACTCCGGAGGGGCTCCTTCAGCCCAAGCGCTAACATAAATCAGTATAACTGTTGCGGCATGCAGTCCGGTCCCATAATTGTCACTCATATCAGGCTCTCAGCCTCACTCAGTCATCAATCTCTCCAGTATCACTCACAGGCTCAAAATGTCATGAAAACTAGTCCGAAACAATGATATGATAATATCAATAAATAACAACTAAGACTGAGATATGATATGAAATGAACGATTATGACTGAGTACGAGATATCAATAAAATTAGTAAGGTGACAGCAAGAAACGACCACTATGGGTCCCAACGGTACTGGCATAAAGCCTAAACATGATATCTAGCATGATTGACAGTTCAATTACTTTATCACACAATGAAAATACAGGTATTAACAAGGTAAAATCACTATACAATGCCATGGAATCAACCATATAATTCTCACAGTGCACGCCCGCACGCCCGTTAGTTGGCATGTGCGTCACCTCAATGCCAATCACATATCACGTAATTCGAGGTCTCGAGCCCTTAGAACACAGTTTGAAAGTGTTGCTTACCTCAAATTCAGGCAAAACTCTACTCCAAAATGCCTTTTCCTCCCAAACCAGGTCTCCAAACGTTTCCAATCTAGCCACAAGCAATACAATACAATGAATATAGGATTAAGGAATCAATTCCACAAGAAAAATACGAAATTATAGCCAAAATCCAAATTGGCTCAAACTTGGCCTCCGGACCCACGTTTCAAAATCCAACAAAAGTCAAAAAATCCGAAAGCACATTCACTCACGAGTCTAACCATACAAAATTTATCAATCCGACACCAAATGGCTATTCAAATCCCCAAAACTCACTCTCCAAATCCCTAGGCTCAAACCCACAAATTTCAACTCAACACCACACAGGCTAGGTGGGAAAAACAATGGGGAAATAAGATTATTGATAAAAAAAACGAGTACAAGAAGCTTACCTCAATAATCCCTTCGAAAATCCTCTCCAAAATCGCCTAAGTCCGAGTTCAAAATATTGAAATGAGACTAAAATCGCGAACCCTTGTTTTAAAACATTTTGCCCAGGCCTTTTGCACCTGCGTCCATTATCCGCACCTGTAGAACCGCTTCTACGGCTAAATCTCTGCTTCTGTGGAATCAACTTAACCAGCTGACTCCGCTTCTGCGAGCTATAGAGTGTATCTGCGAACATCGCAGGTGCGGAAAATGCCATCGCACCTGCGGAACTAGCTGCATCTGCGCCCTTCTGCGACCACGCAGGTTCGAGAGAATCTTCGCACCTGCGTTCTTTGCTCACCTCTCTCTTGGCCTCTTCTGCGACTCTTTCCCGACTTCTGCGGACTTGCACCTGCAGTTCCACTCTACAGGTGCGATTACACCAGCAGCAACAAACTTCAGCTGCTTTTCAAATCAAACTCCAAGTCCACTAACCACCCGAAATCAACCCGAGACCCTCAGGACCTCAACCAAACATGCCAACAAGTCCTAAATCATGATACGAGCTTAGTTGAACCCGCAAATTACCTCAAACAACATCAAAAACATGAATTACACACGGATTCAAGTCTAATGAACTTTGAAATTTCCAAATTCCACAAATGACGTCGAAACCTATCAAATCACGTCTGATCGACTTCCAATTTTGCACACAAGTCAGAAATGACCCCACGAACCTACTCCAACTTCGGGAAATCCAATAGGACCCCGATATTTCCACCCTCGGTCAAACATTCCAAAATTCCAACTTTCGCCAATTCAAGCCTAATTCTGCTATGGACCTCCAAATAACAAACCGGACGCTCTCCTAAGGTCCAAAATCTCCTAACTGAGCTAACACAACCATCAATATTTAAATCCCTGGTCGTTTACACAGAAGTCGACATCTGGTCAACTTTTCCAACTTAAGCTTTCAATTAGGATACTAAGTGTCTCAATTCACTTTGAAATCTCTTCGGACCTGAACCAACTAACCCGGTAAGTCATATAACAGCGGTAGAATACAAAAAGAGCAGTAAATGGGGAAACGGGGCTACAACTCTTGAAATGACCGGCTGGGTCGTTACCTCATCTCCCTCTTAAACAAACGTTCGTCCTCGAACGGGTCTAAAAACATAACTGGAGTCTCAAATAGGTGTGGATATTTACTCCGCATCTCTCGTTCGGTCTACCAAGTAGCCTCCGCCATAGGCTGACCTCTCCACTGCACCTTCATTGAAGCTATATCTTTTGACCTTAACTTTCGAACCTACCGATCCAAAATGGCTACCGGCAACATCATAAGTCAAATCACCATCCAAATGAATCGTGCTGAAATCCAAAACATGAGACGGATTGTGTGACGACCCGACCCGTCGTCTCATGTGTTTCCGTCCCGTTTTCCCCGTTTATTTCTTCTTCATGATTTATTATATGTGTTGGGTGAGTCTAAGTTTACTTGGATTGGTTTTGATAAGAAATGAGACACTTAGTCTCTTTAAGGAAGGCTTGGTTTGGAAAAAGTCAACCGAATGTTGACTTATTAGTTAGAAGGCTCGGATGTGAATTCCGGTGATTCGGTTAGCTTCAGGAGGTGATTTGTGACTTAGGGGTGTGATCGGAAGTGATTTTGAAGGTAATACTAATGTAGCTGAGCAAGGTGACCGCCAGCGTTCGCGGCACCGGACTTCTTCTTTTGGTATTCCAGATTTCTATTTTATTATATATATATATAT